GGAGCAGAGAGGCTGACGTTTCGGGCCTAGACCCTTCATCAGAAAAGTAGCAGACAGAGTCAGGATGCATTGTTGGCATGGTACCTTTTCAAGAAGGCGCACCTGCAACTATTGGAGTGCCACAGGGATCTGAGCTGGGACCACAATTATTTATAGTATATACTAATGACTTTATAGAGGGAAGTGAATGTACTCTAGCCACGTTTGTGGGTGATACAAAATTAGGTGGGAAGGCCAAGTGGCGAGGATAAAAGTCCATGGTGCATTAAACGATTGGGCAAAAACTTGGCAGAATCTACTGTGGGGGAAATGTGAGGTTCTGCACTTTGGCAGGAAGAATAGAGGAGCTGCATATTATTTAAATGGGAAAGCAGCAGTGCAGTGTGTTTTGGGAGGCCCTCTTGTATTGATCACAAGAAGTTAGCAGGTAATAAGGAGGTCAAATAGACTATTGGCTTCTATTTCAAAGCAAATAGAGTATAAAAATTGGGGGCTATTGCTAAAACTATACAAGGCACTACTCAGACCACAGCTGGAACACTGTGAACATTCCTCCGTTTCCCTGATAATCTTACATCCCTTCAGTAATCAAGACTCGACCTACCTCTGCCCTGAAAATGTCTAAAGATACTGCATCCTTTTGAGAAGGGTATTCCCAAAATACTCAACCCTCTGAGAGAAAGATATAATTTTTGACTTTGACCCCTAGATCTAGATTCTCCCACATCCTCTGAACATCCACCTGACCTCCCCGCGATCTTTATTATGTTTCAGTTTAGTCGCCTCTATCTCTTCAAACTGCCAGAGGATACAGGTGTAACCTGTATAGCCTTCCTTCATGAGGCAATCCACTCATAACTGGGGAGGTGATGGCCTAGTGGTATTATCGCTGGACTGTTAATCCAGAGACCCAGATAATGTTCTGGGGACCTGGGTTCAAATCCCACCACAGCAGATGGTGGAGTTTGATTCAATAAGTATCTGGAATTAAGAGTCTAATGATGACCATGAACCCATTGTCAATTGTTGGGAAAAACCCATCTCGCTCACTAATGTCCTTTAGGGAAGGAAACTACCATCCTTACCTGGTCTGGCCTACATGTGACTCCAGACCCACAGCAATGTTCTTGACTCTTAACTGCCCTCTGGGCAATTAGGGATGGATAATAAATGCTGCAAGGCCCTCATCCCATGACTGAATGAAAAAAAAACAGTTCTGGGCATGAGTCTAGTTGGTTATTGATGGCATTGCATTGTTGACTGGATGTGTTTACAGGTGAACAGTGTGGACAGGTCTTTGGCTTATTTTAGTCATTATTATTGCTGACCCACCAGATGTTTATTTCCCCCAACAGGTATGGTGTGGCCAGAAGTCTTGCTTGTTGCATGAAAGACCCGGCTACGAGAACTTCATGTGCCCAGAGACCCAGCAGTGCCAGGCTAGCCCATGGGTCAAGTGCTTCTCCCCACCCTGCACTGATTGGGGAGAATGTAACGCCTTAAATGCTGCTCCTGTCGACTCTAAATGCCAACCGAACACAGGCCAACTGGACAACAACTGTGCAAAGATCACACTCATCTTTAATAAGGAGAAGATTCCAAAGGTAAGGAAGATGGTGCAGGTGCAAGGAATTCCAGATTGAGTCATCGGTTACTGATCTGCTTCCTTCAGGACCTGTGTCCCCTCTGCCTGAGGAGAGTCTTCCTGGTTTACTCTCCTGGTCTTGTATGAAGTGAATGGGAAGTACCCAATGAGTTTGTTCTTGAGCAGTCTAATGAAACCAGTTGGCCCTCACTCCAGGCCAAAGGATATTGTGGCACAGTACTAGGGTCCCTACCTCTGGACCAGGAGTCCTACCAGCTCCAGAGGTATGTAATAACATCCCTGGACAGGTTGATGAGAAATATAGAATCATGGAAGCAGGCCGTTTGACCTGTCCATACCAACCCTCTGAAGAGCATCCCACCCAGACTCAGACCCCCACCCTATCCCCGTAACCCTGTACTTCCCATGACTAATCTACCCGGCCTGGAAACTACGGACAATTTAGGTTATTAAAAAAATATTTAAATGGCAGTATGGCACTTTTCATATAATTGAATGGATCTAAGATCTGTTTGTCCCCACTTTTCAGTCTGTCATCCATACCCAGGCAATGAGATAGACATGCCGACTGAAAGGAACCTGAGCTGGTTGGATCTTGTTCACTCCAAGTATTAAGGAGTTTATGTATAGAAGTGGAGTTGGGTACAAATCAATATCAGCTAGTTGAACAAAAACAGAAGCTGCTGGAAAAGCTCAGCCCCTCCTCAGAATTGAGTCACCGGACCTGAAATGTTAACTCTTGACTTTTCATTCACAGATGCTGCCAGACCTGCTGAGCTTTTCCAGCAACTTCTGTTTTTGTTCCTGATTTACAGCATCCGCAGTTCTTTCGGTTTTTATCAGCTAGTTGAATGTTGTCACGAGACTTGGAATGGCACCTGGTTGGTTTTGTCTGTTTCTCCGTTCTAGCATGAAATGTCCTTTACTCTTTGCCAGCCAAACAAGTTTGAAAAATGCGTGATGAAATCACTGATGATAATTCTGGACAAGTCATCCCAGAGTGAAGCCTGGCTTAATAGATCTGAAGATTTTATTTATGCAGTTTGCTTGCTAAGGGTAGTTAGTGACTGAGCATTTTCACATAAGGCTGTCAGTGTTTGTTAACAAAGAACGTGAATTTATTACACTAAAGAAAAAAAGAAAACAAAGCTGTACACGTATAAAGCATCTTAAAAAGATGTGGACATAATGAGCAAAAAGAAGGCTTCAGCTTTATTCCTTGCAGTATCCTGCACAGTTACTCAATCCCACTGCAGTATGAGTCATAGAGATGTACAGCACAGAAACAGACCCTTCGATCCAACTCATCCATGCCAACCAGATATCCTAATTAATCTAGTCCCGTTTGCCAGCATTTGGCCCATATCCCTCTAAATCTTTCCTATTCACGCATCCATCCAGATGCCTTTTAAATGCTGTAATTGTACCAGCCTCCACCACTTCCTCTGGCAGCTCATTCCATACATGCACCACCCTCTGCATGAAAAAGTTGCCCCTTAGGTCCCTTTTATATCTTTTACCTTAAATCTTTGCCCTCTTGTTTTGGACTCCCCACCCCATCCTGGCGAAAAGACCTTGACCTTATCCATGCCCCTCATGATTTTATAAACCTCTATAAAGTCATCCCTCAGCCTCTGACGCTCCAGGGAAAATAGTCCCAGCCTATTCAGCCTCTCCTTATAGCTCAAAATCTTCAATCCTGGCAACATCCTCATAAATCTTTTCTGCACCTTTTCAAGTTTAACAACATCTTTCCGATAGCATGGAGACCAGAATTAAATGCAGTGTTCCTATATTTATACGTAACTGGCACCTTCCAGTTCTGAAGGCCTTGATTTCTCTTAAATGTTGATGGCCTAGATTCCTTTTTCAGGTCTTAAGGTTTGGAGATTTCTACATAATTAACCGAGTATCCTTTTGCTAGAATGAAACTGTCCTTCTGAACTAAATCCAAATTGTGACTTACTCCTGAATTTTTTTTCCCCTCATGTCATAAAGCATTGTAAACACTTGCCGAATTATACCTCCTGCTTGGCACTGAAGTCATCTGTTCCAATTGACTTTCTGGCTTTTTAACAAAACATGATTACTTTTGCAGAACTGAAACTACAAATCCATTTCCCTTCTACTTTCCATTATCATTTGGGATTTGGGTAATTCATAGAAGACCTCCATTGCACCGCCCAGTGTAGTCCTCCTCAAACTACCCTACAATGCACTCTGGCCTAACACCGCGTTTGTGAGTCATTTGGATTTCAAGAATTAGATGTGTAGGATGATTTCTGTCATTGGCTTGAGATGTGTTTGTGGATGAGCTGCAAGATTTACTCTGCATGTGCGTCATACAGTGCTTCACCTGAGTGACCTCCAAGTTATCTGCCGTTTCCTCTCTCCAGGGCATCACTGTGGAGTACATCTGCTCAGAACTGAGGTATTTACCCATCCTGCGGAGCCTCTCCAAGGAGCGAACTCTGTTTGTGTTGTGTGACCTGGCTAATACCTCTGACAGTGCAGTGGAAGTGGCCATTGTAAGTAAATCCCTACAAAGGGATGTCACTAGGTTTGTGTGAGTAGGGGAGGAAAATGACAGATGGAGCATTATGTGGGAAATGTGAACTCGTCCATTTTGGTAGAAAGAATGGGAGGAAAAACGCTATTTAAATAAAGAAATATTGCAGAACTCAGGGGTGGAGAGGGTTTCTGGGTGTCTACATACCATGAGTCACAAAGTTAGCAATCAGGGACAGCAAGTGGTTCAGAAAGCAACTGGAATGTTTTTCTATGGGGACAGAAGGCAGGTTGAGTGATGTTTTAGTGCTGCTGGGGCAGTATGTTGGTCAGACAACATCTGGAATACCTCCTTACTGAAGAGAATATTATCGTGTTCAAAACCATTCAGACAAAATTTGCACAGCTCATTATTGGGATAAAGGCCTCTCTCGTGAAGATTTGAACAATTTCAGCCATTGGAGTTTAGAAGGTGAAGTGATCCTAGTGAAACATGCGAGACCCTGAGGAGACTTAACACAGAAGATACCAGGAAGATGTTTCTTCCTCTGGGTGAGAGCAGAACTAGGAACACAGTTTAAGAATTAAGCAGTCTCACTTTTAAAATGGGGATAAAGAGAATGGTTTTAATTTTGAGGGACATTAGCCGGGATTCTCTCACCCACAAAGTGGCAAAGGCTGAGTCGCTGTATTTATGCAAGGCTGAGTTAGATCGTTTTGATAGACAAGAGTTATGAGGTTCAGACAGGAAAATAGAGCTGAGACCACAAGCAGAATCCTGTTACGCGGTGGGGCAGGTCGATAGGGCGGAATGGCCTTCTTCTGCTCAGAAGTCCAAGGTTCCATTGTTTCTATTTGTTTGATGACTGATCAGTCCTTTCTGCATCTGCAAACTTTCCTGAGAATGATAGTTCAGAAGAGATTTACCAAGTTATTGCTGGGAATGGAGGGTTTGATTTATCAGGAGAGGCTGGATACACTGGGATGATTTTCACTGGAGTGCAGGAGGCTGAGAGGTGACCTTGTAGAGGTTTATAAAATCATTAGGGGCATGGATAGGGTAAATGGCAGGTGTTTTGTTTTCCCTTAGTATGGGGAATTTTAAGACTAGGGGGCGTATTTTTAAGGAGGAAGATTTAATAAAGACATGAGGGGCAACTTCTTTACACAGAGGGTGGTTCTCATGTGGAATGAACTTCCAGAGGAAGTGGTGGATGGGGGTATAGTTACAACATTTAAAAGACATTTGGATAAGTACAAGGATAAGAAATATTCAGAGGGATATTGGGTGAACTTAAGACAGGTGGGACTAGTTTAGTTTGGGATTATGTTCAGCATGGACTGGTTGGGTTGAAGGGTCTGTTTCTGTGCAGTGTGACTCTATAATGAGTTTCACATCTTTGTTGTGCTTCTCTCCTCCAACGTGCTCCCCCGCCATTGCAGTCATTTACCCAACACGGTGAGGACCAGGATGGGATCCTCATTCGGGATGCAGTCACAAAGATTGTCGACAACATGACCAAGCAACAGAACAGCACCATGATGCTGGCCGTCGTCGAGGTGAAAATAGAGACGGCTTATGTTCCTCCATCACAGCCAGGTAGTGCCAACTGTCCCTTTATCAAAATAAGAACAAAGTGTTTCCCGCATCTGCAGTATTTTGCTCTTATTCCTTTTCTCAGTATGCCCCAGCCTCCTGTTTATCATTCTCCTTGGCTGCATGTTGTCTAACTGAAGTCTGTGTGTTATCTCTAAGTCAGGATCTGAAGCTGTAAGCGACTGGTTTCTCCCAAAGTGGTACTGAGTGAGTGCAACACTGTTGCAAGTACCAACTTTTAGATGAGACATTAACTTGAAGTCTTGTCTGTCCTCCCTGCTAGATGTAATGATTGTTATCCTGGTCAATATTTATCCCTCAGTTAGCATCAGCTTTTTAAAACAAAAACTGTTGACTTGTGTAATTAAGTAGCAGTCACTCTACGGAAACAAATTAAGTCACTGCTGCAGGGTAGAGGCCAACGAGACAAGTGAGTTGTTAGTTTTGGGGTGTTTTAGTGTTGGTTGATGGAGGAATATTGACCGAAATCACGGGGAGAATTCCAAAATAGAAACAGGAAATGCAGAGCGTATTTCACAAAGAAGGCAGTATTTGTGTGGAGAGAAACCTTGAACTTTGCAGGTCCACGATTTTTCATCAAAATTCCAAGGATCCCCCCACTCCTTCCTTGTTCTGTGGATTGTGCTGTGGCAATGTTGGCATGCAGCAGAATTAACAGACAGATTTGGTTAGCACTGTACCCTCCAATAGAACATACAACAGTACAGCACAGGAACAGGCCCTTCGGCCCACGATGTTGTGCCGAACATGATGCCAAATTAAACTAATCCCTTCTGCCTGCCCTTGGTCCATGTCCCTCCAATTCCTTGTATAGTCATGTGCTTCTCTAAAAGCCCTTAAACACCCCTAACATGTCTGCCTCCACCACCCCTGGCAGTTTGTTCCACACTCTGTGTTAAAAAAAACCTGCCCCTCACATCTCCTTTGAACTTTGCCCCTCTCACCTTAAATGCATGCCACCAAGTATTAGACATTTCAACTCTAGGGGAAAAAGGATTCTGACTGTCAATCCTAAAGCTGCAACATGACATCCTGACTCTTGTACTCAGTTCCCTGACCAATAAAGCCAAGCATGCCATACGCCTTCTTTACCAGCCTATCTATTTTTGTGGCCACTTTCAGGGAGCTATGGACTAGGACCCCAAGATCCCTCTGTACGTCAGTGCTGTTCAGGGTCCTGCCATTCGCTGTATAATTTTCCCTTAACGTTTGATCTCCTAAAGTGCAGCACCTTACACTTACCTGCATTTAATTCCATCTGCTATTTCTCCACCCATATCTGCAACTGATCTATATCCCGCTGTACCCTTTGACAACCTTTTTACCCTGTCCACAACTCCACTTGATCTCTGTATTGGGACAGAGTTCCGGAGGGGGAATGTTTAGCCTTGACCCTGTGCTATGGTTAGTCTATTATAGAGTCATACAGCATGAAAACAGACCCTTTGGTCCAACCAGTCCATGCCAAACTGATTAGTACTGTTACAATTACTCACTATTAATGAATCCACTATTGAACTCAGGATGCAGGTTGGCACTCCCAAGGCAGTACTAACAGAGTGCTGCAGTGCTGTGGAGACATTGTCTTTCTCTGGCTCTGTTACAGCCCCAGCCCTCCCTCCCCTTCCCCCTCCACCGCCTGGGATGTCAACAATGTGACCTCTACTCAGAAGGAGACCAGGGCAGTACCCAGGGAGATTCTGTTGAAGAGTGGTACGGAACTCAGTGTTAACTCCATTTCTCTCTCCACAGAAGCTGCCAGACCTGCTGAGTTTCTCCAGCACTTTCTGTTTTTTTCCTGCAAACCCTTTCGTTTCAGATTTCCAGCATCTGCAGTAATTTGTTTTTAGTTTCCTGTTTGGTCTTCGTCCTTCATCTTATAACAACTTTAAAAAAAAAGCGATCTGGTTGTTTTTAGCTTATTGCTGTTTGTGGGAGCTTGCTGTGCTAAACTCAGCTGCTGACTGCTGCCAGAGATTGTGAAGGTCCCTATAACAATGCGCGCTGTTTGTTCGCTTGCGAGCCAAAAATAAAATTCTTCTAATGTTGTTATTCCATTTTCTGCACTTCTTGTTTTTGTAAATTTGTGGCTCGCGCAGCGTATCTGGTTCCGGTGCTCAGTGTGGCGTTCGGAATGGTGTGGCTGGTTTGTATCATCATCTGCGTGTGGTGGACCCGAAAACGGAGAAAAGAGAGAGAGAGAAGCCGGCCGTCCATGGAGGACATGGTGAACAATCAGTGGGAGCCCCTGAACCCCATCAGGAACCCCATTGACAAACCCTGCAGTAACAAAGACATTCAGTATGAATGCAAAAATTTAATGGCTCCTTGTAGCCGGACTCTAATGGCAAGAGAGGAGGTGGAGGAGGAGTTGGGTGTGGACAAGTGCCCTTCCCAAAGATGTACAATTACATTCTTGCCAGCAAAAGGCGACGCTAAATCTTCGCAGTTTACTCCAGTCAAGCAACTGCATCGAACTGGCAAAAGGGAGAACCGTTGCCTAAAAAATGTGAACAGTTCAAACTGTGAAGGAGGTAAGGATCTTTCTGTATGAACCTATGGGAGAGTTGTTTAGTGCCTACAGTTTTTTTTTAGAAAAAGAGAGAGAAAGGGAGAGGATAAAACAAGAGAAATTCTCCTTTTACCTCCTTGTCCCTTTAAAACTGAAACCATCTCTTGAAGTCTTCATGGTCAGTAAGTGTCTCTTTCTTTTGGTGTGTGTAAAAACCATTATTTACCAAGTGTCTCTTTAAATCTTGTATAAATTATTTGTGACTTGTTCAGTGTCAAGATCTCTTTGCCAGTTGCTATATTGTGTGTGTTTTTTGTCTCTCCTCTTAAATTGCGAATTGGAGGAGGGCAGCACCTTGTCTGTCCCTTAGCAACAGAAAAAGAGGAACCAAGATTGTCATTCAGTGTCCTCCTTCCATTTTACACCAAATAAATTGTTTACATAGGTTTTGTCGTGGCCTTTTTCTTTCACAGCACTTGAGTATTATATTGCCGTGCCCCAGTGAGGAATTTTCGATTGGTGTGTTCCTTTGGTGACCTTTCACCTCACTTTCCCAAAGGTGGTTTGCTGTCTCTGCACTGCTGACAGTTCCCTACTGTTGGGTTAGACTTCGTTTTGGGGAAGGGCTGGGAGAGGGTTGGGCTGAAAAGTGGAGACGTGTGGGATTTATCAGAGTCACAGTCGTGGCTTATGCTGACAGAGCTTGTGCCTTTGGTGAACATACTGTTTTTTTTTTAATCAAGCCCTCACCTGCAGGTTTCTGTTTCTGGGAAATTTGTGACTTGCTAGCCTTCGGGAAGCAGAAAGAGGAAATGAGACGTTTTCTATAGAGGGGAGCAGTGGCAAGGCAAGGAGGAGGTGGTGTACAATAAGTCTGAGCTTGTTCCCCGCCCCCCCCATCCCTTGATGACTGTCGAAATAGTCAAGAAGGGAGTAATTTTCCAAGATTCCTGCCTTTAATGAGCAAAGGTGGGGAATGGAGAAGGGGAGAAATAGCTTCGATCGAAGTATGTTCAGCAAGTATTAGAATCAAGGGAAGGAGTTGGAGGGATGCGAGGAACAATTTCTTGTCAGGGAAAATGCCACGGAATCAAAGTGCCTTGTTTCTGTCTGGTCTTCAGAAGGGCATGAATTTACACACAAGGTCTCTCTTTCTCTCTCTCTCTCTCTCTCTCTCTCGGTATACTTTGAAAGAAACTTCACATGGAGAGTTGCCTTGAACTCAGGTGAATGTTAGATGGGTGCAGTGGAGACCCCCCTCCCCCCAACTCCTTTTTTTGTTTGGTTTATGTTGAATTTTGTATGCAGTGAGATCCCGTAGAGAGCAACCAGCCTCATGACCCAGAGTAACCCTCCTCTCCATTCACCAGAAGCTGGGAGTGTATACAGTATTGGAGTGGCCAGTGCCTGAAGGTTGAATTGCTATAGCAACTGTCAAAGACTGTCCTGCTGATTTTTTAATATATATATATAAATAAATAAATATAAATGACAAGGTGAACTATGTACCTTCCTTACTGTCCTATAATAAACAATTGTAAGTGTATGATCAAAACTTCTGTATATATGTATATACTTAAGGAATCGATGTGTATATTTGATTGAATAACTTAAGACAGATATTAATACAAGTTTTTTGTTTAGATGCCATTCCTTAATTTATATTAAAAAGGAATTTTCATGGCATTTTTCTCACATGCGGGCACACAGACACATCTCTTTACTCTAGTATTCCATTAGAAATCTTGAACTTCACAACTGGCTAAGTGCATATTTTTTTGAAAAAATAAAAGCCCAAACTGTAAATAGATTTGGCGTGCTTTCAATCACTGCTTTTGCAGCCTGACCCATTACTCACACAGCATCATCCCCACAAACTGGGAATACTCCCCTGGTCCCCCAGGTTGATTTCCTGATAGGATTGGTGATGGGGAAGGAAGATACACAGCAGGTGGAGAGTGAAGCAGGAGTGGCAGCTTGCGTTTATATCTTGCAGGAGTTCCAAGTCACCCCAAATCGAAAGCTGGGATTTCTCTTTTCTCCTTTACAACAACAAAAAATGAAAATTTGGGTGCTGATGTAGCGTAAAACACAAGGAGAAGGACAGAACAATTTGGTCCAGTTAATGCATTTGCTGTCCGAAAGGATTAAAGAGAATGTCCAAATCTCTCTCCTCCAATGCAGTCTGTTTTCAATTCTTAGAGTTGAGTGCTAAGGCTAAACAGATGGTTTTGATATTTGTGACCAGTGTAATTGTGTGCTCAGGCAAGACCTTTTCAAAACTGTTCAGTTACATCTTAGGGCAAAATTAAATGAGCCCTACATGTCAAGTGTTTCCCCAGCCACACTCTTACCGCAGTTCCCACTTACAATTGTTGCACAGTGTTTAATTTTGGCCTTCGAATGTTTGGAGCACATTATACAGAAACACTGGTGCTCAGGCTTTTACTGTCTATGTTAACCAGCTCTCTCCTCGGGTGGGGTGTTAAAATCTATTATGCAAAAAGAGGGAATATATTTCTGCTTTGAGCAGAGAAAAGAATGAAGGGAACAATTTATTTGTTTTATGTATTTTAGTTTTCTTTTTTAAAAAAAAAACAACTTTTGCTTTGTTCCAGCACAGAAACTAATGGGTGATATGTTCTACCCTATGATATAGAGAAAAAATGGTTTTAATTCAAAATGAGGAAACAAAAAATATGTAGCCTTATGTTCTTTTGGTTTATACTGTGGACTTAGTTGTATATTTATTGGGGTTAAATCCGAACCATGATTCACCCAACACAAGTGCCCACAATCTTCATCAGATTTAACTGCTGCAGGGTTTATATATATTTATATACATATGTGTGTGTATATATAAATATATATATATAAAATATATATTTGGCTATGGATTCATTTTGATACTAAATACTTAATGGGCAAACTGTGATATTTTCTTTCTGAATTATGGATGAGAGCTTTTGTTTTCTGAATCACGTTGCATGTTTATTGATGTCAACCACACAGCAGGAGGCTGGAAAAAAGTCCTGTCTGATGAAATGGGGTGAAAAATTTAAAAAAAATGCAGGCTGGCTGATTTAAACAGAAAATGACATGAACAATTTCTGTACGGACTCGAAATAAAGTTGTAATTTTTTTTTGTAAAAGGACGCTTGCGTTGCCTTGCAAAAGTCCTGTGTTCATTTAGAGCATTTTGTTTGACATGTTCTTAGAGATAACTTTCAAAAAAAAACTATTTATTAAAGCGTTTTATATTAACGTCTCCCAGTGTGTCTTGTGCCTTTTATTCTCAGGGAGAAATATAGCTTATCACAAGGGTGAGAGCATATTTATTCCTGCCTCAGTTCAGACCGTTCGATGCAGAAAGTGTTAGCAGCGACTTGGAGGCTCCAATCCATTTCACTGGCGCTGGCTTTAGGAGTTACTGTTTGCAGCATTAGATTTCAGTCCCTACCTGGAGGGACAAGACCAGCAGTTGAATAGGAAAACCATCAAATTCCCCTTCAAGCCACTCACCATCCTGACTTGGAAATATATTGTCATTTCCTTCAGTGTCCCTGGGTCACAATCCTGGAATTTCCTCCCTTATAGCATTGTGGGTCAACCCACAGCGCATGGACTGCAGCGGTTCAAGAAGGCAGCTCACCCCCCACCTTCTCAAGGGGCAACTAGGGATGGGCAATAAAAGCTGATGTTGCCAGTATTAGAGGGCATAGGTTTAAGGTGAGAAGGGAAAGATTTAAAACGGACCCGAGGGGCAGCTTTTTCACACAGAGGGTGATGCGTGTATGCAATGAGCTGCCAGAGGAATTGGTGGAGGTTGGTACAATTACAACATTTAAAAGGCATCTGGATGGGTACATGAATAGGAAGGGTTTAGAGGGATATGGGCCAAATGCTGGCAGATGGGACTCGGTCAGATTAGGATGTCTGGTCCACATGGACGAGATGGTTTGAAGAGTCTGTTTCTGTGCTGTATGACTACGCATCTATGATGCTAATGTAATAAATTCCAAATTAAAGGAGATGTGCAAGGCAAGTTTTTTACACTGAGGGTGTTGGATGCCTGGAACATTCTGCCAGGAGAGATGGTAAAAGCAGATATGACAGCAATGTTTAAGAGGCATTTAGACAGAACAGGCAGGCAGTAGAGGGATACGGACAATGTGCAGGCAGGTGGGTTTAGTTTAGAATGGCATCATGGTCAGCACAGACATGGTGGGCCGAAGGGCCTGTCCCTGTGCTGTACCATTCTATGTTCTATACTCTCTGCAGTGTAAGCTCCTTCAGAATCTTCTGTCCTTTGCTGTTCTGCGTCCTGGTGTGGAAATCTCTCCTGGATCAGCACAGGTTATCCAGCATCCGGTACCTGTGGTCACGCCAGCAAAAACAAGAGCTTGCATTTGTATTGTGCCTTTTGGACTACCCAGCAGCTTTACAACCAAAGAGGTACTTTTGGAATTGTCACTATTGTACAGAGGAAACATCACAGCCAGCATTGGCATGATGAAAGCCAGCCAGCATTGGCATGATGAAAGCCAGCCAGCATTGGCATGATGAGAGCCAGCCAGCATTGGCATGATGAGAGCCAGCCAGCGTTGGCATGATGAAAGCCAGCCAGCGTTGGCATGATGAGAGCCAGCTAGTGTCGGCAGGTAGCTATAACGTGAAGTGAGATTGGAACCCTTGATCTTGAGAAAAATGGAATTTGAGCAGAAATAGAGTATCCAGGTCTCCAGACTGTCACTATTCAATACAATCATGGCTGATTCCCTCTGTCTCTCCCCCACCCTCTCTCCCTCCACCCTCTCTCCCTCCACCTCTCTCTCTCTTCCTCTCTCTCTCTCTCGCTGTCTCACTGTCTCACTCTTGCTCTTCCTCTCTCTCTCTCTTCCTGTCTCTCTCTCTCTCACTGTCTCTCTCTCTCTTCCTGTCTCTCTCTCTTGCTGTGTCACTTTCTCGCTCTTTCTTTTCCTCTCTCTCTCTTCCTGTCTCTCTTTCTTCCTGTCTCTCTCTCTCTCTTGTTGTGTCACTTTCTCACTCTTGCTCTTTCTCTCTCTCTTCCTCTCTCTCTGCCTTCCTCTCTCTCTCTCTTCCTTTCTCTTCCTGTCTCTCTCTTTTCCTGCCTGTTTCCTATATACATGGATTACTGAAGGGACCAAGATTCTGTGCACCTCAGCCTCCAAGTAGAGGTGTAGGTATAGAGATTCTAAAATTCCTTGACCCTCTTCATCACAGTCTGATACAATCAACCCCTTATCCTGATGAACTTTCCCTGGCTGCGGAATTTAAAAATCTCTGACTGACCTTCAGAATCTATTGTTTCAGTGCCCAACCATCTTCAGCTGCTTCATCAATGACCTTCCCTCCATCATAAGGTCAGAAGTGGGGATGTTCGCCAATGATTGCATAATATTCAGCACCATTCGTGACTCCTCAGATACTGAAGCAGTCTGTGTTCAAATGTAACAAGATCTGGTCAATATCCGAGCTTGGGCTGACAACTGGCAAGTAATATTTGTGCCACACAAATGCCAGACTATGACCATCACCAGTAAGAGACAATCTAACCACCACCCCATGACATTCAATGGTGTTACCATCACTGAATCCCTCACTATCAACATACCATTGATGAGAAATTTAATTGGACTCACCACATAAACACAGCGGCTACAAGAGCAGGTCAGAGTCTAGGAATACTGTAACTCACCTCCTGACTCCCCAGAACCTGTCCACCATCTATAAGGCACAAGTCAGGAGTGTGATGGAATACTCCCCACTTGCCTGGATGGGTGCAGCCCCCAACAACACTCAAGAAGCTTGACACCATCCAGGACAAAGCAGCCGCTTGATTGGCACCACATCCACAAGTATCCCACTCCCTCCACCACCGACGCTCAGTAGCAGCAGTATGTACCATCTACAAGACGCATGGCAGAAATTCACCAAAGATCCTCAGGCAGCACCTTCCAAACCCATGACCACTTCCATCTCAAAGGACAAGGGCAGCAGATACATGGGAACACCACCCCCTGCAAGTTCCCCTCCAAGCCACTCACCATCCTGACTTGGAAATATATCGCTGTTCCTTCAGTGTCGCTGGATCAAAATCCTGGAATTGCCTCCCTAAGGGCATTGCGGGTCAACCTACAGCACATGGATTGCAGCGGTTCAAGAAGGCAGCTCACCCCCACCTTCTCAAGGGGGCAACTAGGGACGGGAAATAAATGTTGGATCAGCCAGTGTCATGCACATCCCACAAATGAATTAAAAAAAGGGCAGACCAGGTAAAGATGGCAGATTTCCTTCCCTAAAGCACAGACGGGTCCTTACGACAGGTGACAGTGGTTTTATGGTCACCTTTGGATTAACCTTTTTATTTCAGATTTTTTAAATGAACTGAAGCCTCACCATCTGTCACAGTAGGATTCAACTTCTGGCTCCAGATGCTTAGCTCGGAGTTTTGTACGACTAATCCAGTGACATTACTGCTATGTGTCTGTTTTTTATTAATTAGAATGTGCTTCTGTTAAAATTATTGAATAATTTATTTAATTGTTTCCTATTGTTTATATAATTCCTTACCTTTTGGTTGATCTACTACATTAGTCAGCTCTCCGTTCATCTCTATATCAAAGATGTTGAAGAAATTGCTGGATTCTTGTTTTTAATTTTTGGTACCAAATTTTGAATTCAGTTGTATTCAGATCACTTTTTGTTTTCAGGGGATCTCTTTATTATGAGCTTACGGATTGATTCTGCGTCATTACACGATAACAGACAGGAAATTGTTTTCTGCCTGGTTGCTTTGGCAATGTCCTTCTGGCAGTTTCCAAGAACAAAACATTCCAGAAGCCCATCTTCCAGAACACTGATCCCAGTTTGATTTGAAAGACCCTACTCCCTCTGGAGGACTTTTTTCTTTCTTCTGTCTTCATTTGATCATTCCTGTGTGAAGCACACCAGCTAGATCTCTCTCAGTCCTGCCTTTCCAACTTTATCTCCAATCATGACCAAGGTGAAGTCTACAAGATGTGAACTGATCGTGATCCAGTTGATAGTTTATTCCAGTGAATTAGGTTAGAGAGGAGCACGGGGTGGGGATCATTGATATGCTGGGTTAGGGCGGCACGGTGGCTCAGTGGTTAGCACTGCTGCCTCACAGCATCAGGGACCTGAGTTTGATTCCACCCTCGGGTGACTGTCTGTGTGGAGTTTGCACATTCTCCCCGTGTCTGTATGGGTTTCCTCTGGGTGCTCCGGTTTCCTCCCACAGTCCACAAAAGATGTGAGGGTTAGGATGGATTGGCCATGCTAAATTGCCCATAGTGTCCAAAGATGTGCAGGTTAGGTAGACTAGCTTTGGGAAATGCAGGGTTACTGGGATAGAGTCTGGGTGAGATTTTTTTTTTAAGAGGGTCAGTGTAGACTTGATGGGCCAAATGGTCTGCTTCCACACTGTAGGGGTTCCGTTCTACAAGCCAGCCAGATCTAGCCTTGATGTCAGGAGCTAGTGGTTTCTCCCTAAGGGCACGGAACCTCTGGGGGAGGCTTGCGAAGTGGTTTGGGGGCTGCCGAATTCTCTCTGTGGCTGGGGAGGACGGTGGAAGATATCTCTTTATCCTGAACTGTCAGGCCCCAAATGTTCAGTGCCAGCTGGTTTCAGTTGCTTCGAAGGGGTTAGCCGCGTTTATCATCTGGTCTCACTGGAAACCCGGGGATGTGTAGGTGGGGAGGGGGACGAATGTTGTGATGGGAATTGCTGGGTGAAGCGATGGCCTTAGTGGTATTAGTGCTGCACTGTTAATCCAGAGACTGAGGGAACGTTCTGGGGACCCGGGTTCAAAGATGGTGGTATTTGAATTCAGTAAAAATCTGTAATTAAGAGTCTATTGATGACCATGAATCCATTGCTGATTGTCAGAAAAACCCGTCTGGTTCACTAATGCCCTTTAGGGAAGGAAACTGCCATCCTTACCTGGTCTGGCCTACATGTGACTCCAGACCCACAGCAATGTGGTTGACTCTTAACTGCCCTCTGGGTAATTAGGGATGGGCAATAAATGCTGCCTGGCCAGAGACACCCTGGGTTTGAGGATGTTGACTTGTCTCCCAGGCACCATCAGTCTCAACCAGCCCCAGGTGAGGGGATATTGCAGCCTTAGGACTAAGATTCCCCATTCACATTGTACAAATCCATGTATTGATGGGTATTATAGAACTCGATCTGTACAAACAATAGGGTCAGGAGCAGGCTGT